GCTGGGGAATTCTGGGAGCTGACGTCCACTCATCTTAAAGTGGCCAAGTTTGGACAACACTAGTCTAAATGAACAGAGAACCACAACTCCGCAGGGTGCCTGGCTGAAGAGCGCTCTCTCTTGGCGCTCCCGCTAACTGCACTTTCTAAGAATTCCTAGAGGACACTAGTGCCGTGTCTTGGAGTTCTAGAGGGTGGGCTCTCTCTTTGCCCTTTTCAAGAAGAAAAGCAAGGTTTCCCTATATAAAGGGCTTTGGGGTAATTCCTGCTCATGGCCACCTCCGCGGCCCAATTCTGTGTGTTGTGTTCTTGGAAATTTCAAATCAGTTTCCCCAGTGAAGAAGCAGCTCGAGTATCAAGTCAGTGAATCTCAATCTCACAAGGTTTGCACCCTGCAGAGGCAGAGAAACTCAGTGAAATCTCGGTGCAAAGTGAAAAGATTGGATTGCGATGAGTGTGAGGCTTGTAAAGGAAGGAGCAAATTTCAGGAAGTTATAAAGCAGAGTTTGTAAAAGTAGTGCAAATGTCCTGAAGGGGGGATGAGGATCAGCTCACATCTGTTGTACGTGGAGGCCGTGCAGTCTCCCTCTCTTTTGTTCATGTATTCGCTTCCTCTGCTCCATCTACGTAGGGACATGACATTCTCCTTAAAAATGGAAGGTTGGAGATGTTCTAAATTTGTCAAAAGCAGCTTGATTGAGAAGACTTCCTGATGAGGGGGGACATGACAGCCTCCTTCCTCCTGCCCCCCATGGAAAATGCACTCTTTCTCCCTTCTTTGCATGAGCACCTGCACTGCACACAGAATCCACCAGGGGGCTCCCTCTGCAAACAGAAGAGAACACCTGCGCTTCAGCATTGGGCCACTGGAGGGCGAATCCCACAGGTGGCTTTCCAGAGGAGGGTGGGAAGGGAGTGACATCACTACAGTTTGCCCCTCTAGGATGCTGCACTCTCTCTCTTTAACCCTTTGAGCTTCACAGGAGGTAAAAAGGCTGCTGGAAAGTCTTACGGGGAGAGATCCAGATGTGGCCCTGGATGAGTGGGGGGGCCTCTTCCGATGCAAAGGGAGACAGAGGGTTCTCATGCTGGAGAAGGAAGAGACACCTGCCAAGTCCTCATCCAGGTTCAATCTTCTGAGTCCTGGGAGTGGATAGCCCAGACCCCATGTTTCCCTGCCATCCCTTTCCATGCACCTAACAGGCAGGGAGGACGCAGAGCTCCAGACCAGCCCAGAGCTCCAGACCAGCCGTGTTGCCCCCAGGAATAACTCCAGGATCCCCAGGAAGGAGGAGGGGATCTGGAAAAGCCCCTGAGTGGGGGGAGAGGGAGAGTTTGCATTGCAAATCTCAAGCAGGAAAGAAGAAAAGCTTTGCAAGGAAGGAGGT